CCTTGATACGAAATGATTTTTCAACATATGACAAATTATAATTACGTATCATTGAAGTGAGACGGAACAAGGTGAAAAACACTGGCAGCGGTGGGATTCGAACCCACGCCCCCGAAGAGACTGGTGCCTTAAACCAGCGCCTTAGACCGCTCGGCCACGCTACCACCTGTGTTTCATGCGGCCCTTAAAACACTTGATATAATCTGACTAACTCATGTTATACAGTGCTGTACTGTACTGTACCATGCAATTGTAAATTAGGTGTACCTGGTGAATTAGGTTATACTGTATTCCAACAATGTCTATAAATTCAGCTTCAGGGCTGTTAACAGCAGTAAAAGCATGGCTTCCAGCTCATTTTAAGCATTCTGAGCATTATATGATGACTCAAATTATTATTGTACTCGAATTATTATTCTACCATCAGATATATATGTACTGTATATATAGTTACACAAATTACTGTACATGATACTGGATAACTCATATGATATACAGTATTATAGGTTGAAAACTAATATACCGGTATATGTGTTTATTTTTGTTCTTCCAGCAATTAATATGCTTTTGCATCATCATCATTGAGGAATATGCCTCGATTACACCCAGCAAATAATTTACCCGTATTTCCACCCGTCAAAGACCCGTCATACGCGGGTAGCTGCCACCCGTTTTGGGAAATGGGTACTGGGTTGAAAAAAAATGGGTGATCACCCATAGAACCACCCGTTTCGGCAGATGGGTGTTTGTATGGGTGAATGTGCTGAGCACCCGTTTTCTCCAAACACCTGCTTTGTTAAGGCTAAGAGAGATTCAGCCGTCATATATGGGTGAATCACCCGTTTTTTGAAAAACGGGTGAAAAATAAACACCACACGCCATTTATACAGCTGTATAAAGGGGGCGCGCTGTTTTTACAGCTGTATAAAGGGGGCGCGCCATTTTTACAGCATTTATAGTGGCCCATATGCTTTATAATTGGCGCACACCATTTATACAGCTGTATAAAGGGGGCGCGCTGTTTCTACAGCATATGGGCCACTAGATGAATGCTTATAAACAGTGCGCGACATTTATACAACTGTATAAAGGGCATGCACTGCTAATACAGCATTTGTCTAGTGGCCCGCATGCTGAATAAATGGCACAGTCAACTCTAAAGTGGCATGCGCTGTTTATTTAGCATAGCTCAGATGCTGCATAAACAGCGCAGCCCACTTTTAGCCAATTGGTGCTTCAAAAATGTAGTGCATACTCTTTTTTATCATTCAATGGCAACTATCTAGACATACACACACCAGTAGGACAGCACACACACATAAACTCACAAGGGCAACAGACAAGCACAGACAAACATCAACAGACACAACATTCCCGAGACAATACAAGGAAAATTTTCAAACACGCAGGGGATTCGAACCACTGCCCCATGAAAACAGAGCACTTCACCATAACAACTAGGCTACACAGCCAACATGATGTCTGAAGGTTGTAGTGCACTGCTATATTATACTGCTGCAGCTGTGTATGAGAACAGCCCAGAGAACAGCGCAGCTCTGTAAAAATATACATGTGAAAAATTATCTGTTCTCTATATGCATGGATCTCTATGTGTTAATGATGATTAAAATTTCTGTAGTCTTTTGTTTTGGATGCATTGTTTATGTGATTTCAAATTTTCTAGTTTCACTTTTTAAAACAAAAGTATTTTTAAATGCTGTATAGTGTATATATAATTAATATGCCATTTCTCAGTATATTACAGAGGTGCACATGTATTTTTTTACAGAGCTGTGCTGTTGTCCTCACTGTTCTCACACAGAGCTGCACTGTTCTCTATATGGCACAGTGCTGCGCCATACAGAGCTGCACCATAAAGAGAAAAGAGCTGCACTGTTCTTATACAGAGCTGCGCTGTTCTCATACAGAGCTGCGCTGTTTTCATACAGAGCTGCGCTGTTCTCATACAG